TTGTGTCTTCAATGCGGTCTGGCTCTCTTAGACTTACCCTGCCGATTTGAGCAAATTGCCATCCTACTACCTTTTTTTCAAAAAGAGTGATAGGAGACTCTGCTTTCGAACTACAGAGGAATCAATTTCATCGAATGACATCAACAAAAGTATTTGCAGTGCTTCTCCTGTAAAGATTTCAAATATCCATGATCTATCAATCCAATTTTTTGTCTCAGGCTGGCTTCCACCTGGGCAGAGGCTGTGTTTGATCAGATCTTCATTTTTGCGGCAAAAAAAAAACAACACTGGGCATACCAGCAACCAACAGTCCTTTGCTTCATTTCTTGTGGCTGCTTTCAACTCCGTGATAGAGGCTCACTCTGGCGTATCATGGAAAAAAATGCCTGCTAAACTCCTTTAATCTCATCAAGGGCTACTACCGAAGAAAATCACAAGACCGTGTTCGTGCTTATGTTGAAGAGTCAAAGATGTTTGAGGTGAGGACTGGTGTGCAAAGGGTTAGTGCCCTATCCCTACCCTATTCAACTATACAATCGACTACATCCTTGGCAAGGCCTTTTTCTCTAACGCTTTATTGAGGTTGGTTGGAATGTCAGGGTGTCTGATCTGGGCTATAAAAACAGTTTCATTTGTCTTGGTCGGATCAAACTGTGACAGTGTGCAAGCTGCCCTCAACCATGTGCAAGCTGCAGCATTTCTAGGATGGAAAAAATGACCATCAATGCATAGAAGAATCAATGTTATTCTGTCCCTGGTTGATCCTGTCAACTGGCAGTCACTGATGCTGGATGGGGTCAATCTGGAAAACATGATAATCTTTTTGATTCTATCTTAAAAAGAAAATTATACCATCCGGATAGGCTATTGCTGAGATAGTTGAAAATAGATATTATAGCTGCAAGGTCCGCATTCAGATATCTCAGATATCACTATGGGGATTTTAGATTTCCCGGATATGAAGGCAGCATCTTTCAAATAAATTGTTAAACTATCCTTCTATATGGATGAGTATATATGGCCACTTAGAAAAAGTGATTGACCTACAAAATTTTGAAGTGTTCAATAACGATTGTCTTCCCAATCATTTTTATGCCACATAATCGATCACAGCCCAAACTCTAAAATATGTTTTTGAGTCTCCGTCCTCTTCCACCCATTCTGCTCCAAATTGTCTCTGATGGTTCAGGCAAATATCAAATAGTCATTTTTTAAAAAGGGATTGAATTCATCCGTGATGTACTTCTCCTCCTTCTCTTCCTGGCTAATATAAAAATATGTCAGTGGGCAGCTGAGGACGTAAATAAAACAATCAATATGACCTAACAGTACTATCGGGTCCATAAGTAGTTGGTCTTCGATGATGGAATTGTGATTGGCTTGCCATTTCGTGATATATAGCATAATGAGAAGCCAATCTGAAATATAAAATATATATACAAATAAATAAATACTTTCATAAAAAACATTATTATTTTTTAATTTGAAACTTTTTCTATATATATATATATATATATATATATATATATATATATATATATATTTGGTTGGATATATAGTTTGTGACCCTGGGTTTCATGCTTTAGCGATCATCAGACAAATTGTCAGTGGGCAGCTTTAGCGATCGTCAGACAAATTGTCTGTCAATCGCTAAAGTGTGAAACCCAGGGTCACAAACTCACATCTATCCAACCAAATATGTTAGCTCTATCTCTGATATTGAGCGCTTTCTAATAAGTACCGCGCATATAATATATAAATAATTATACATATATATATTTATTTATATTTATATACACTTTTCACATATATGATTAATACAAATATAAACTTTGTCACTTAGCTGATTGATGTTACCTTCAGCATCTCAACTCAAGAGTTTCATAGACGTATACCTCAGCAATCGCTCCGACCACTATATATATATTATAAATATAGCATTTATAACATATATATATATATATATATATATATTATAAATGTTATATTTATTGGCCACATATAGTTGAGCAGGTATCCCTGTTTTTTTAATGTAGGAGAGGGTCATTGGTTTTTGTGAAGTATGCTTCCAATCCAATTGTTGTAGTTTTAAGTGTTAATTGAAGTTGGATTTAACCTTGAGTGTTAATTCAAGTTGGATTAGACCTAGAGCTCTTGGTACGTACAGCCTATCAACATTTGATTTCAGGTGGTGCATCCTTATTTGGGTAAGAATTTATCTTGTCTTGGTGTCCAATCTTTTTATGTCATTCAACTTCCATTTAATGTTGAAGGTGTATGTTACTATGGGTAAAAGCTAAGGTGTTGATAGTCTTCATTTTATTGCTCCCCCCCCATTAAGTTCGCTTCCTAATATCAAACACACTCTCCTATAATATTCTTTTCAGATCTTTTTCTTCACAATTGAATGATGTATTCCGTCTCCTTCATTAATTCCTAAGTATTTGTATGTGCCATCTTAGTCTAGTTCCTTAATCTTGTTGTTGATATCAAGGTCTAAATCTATAGTTTTCCTTAGTTCTCACTATAGTTTCTTGGCATCTTCTCTGAAGATCTTGTTTTGCCAGAAGAATCTGTTTCTTTTTTCAATGTGCCTCATTCTCTGTGCCTCTGTTGTTTCGGCTTCTCTTCAACTTTTGGTACATCAGTATTATTCTTTATGTCAAAGTTTTGTTTCAGTTGTCTCCCTTTTCTTTCTTTCCTTTTTTTGAGCCCTTGTCTACTTCACTTAGAAGTGACGATTGTCCTCGTAGTTTATTTATTTCGGTTTCTATTTTTTCTTTCCAGACTGTCATTTTTTTTTCATTTATGGTGTGTTTTTACTTTTTCATCTATTGTTTCTGTGATCATTTCTGAGGCCATGTATATAAGATGATTAATTTCTGTCAGGTTCATCAGTTTTCCTGTTTCGTTCCTTATTTTTTTAATTGCTTGGTAAGTGAGGTTGACGGTTTTCTTTACTTGATGGTTCTTTCTTACTTCTGGAATTGTTGGCCTTTCCTTGAAACACATTTCCTTTGCATTCTCCTGTTTATATCAGATGTTTTTTGTCATTTATGTTTCTCTCTCATATTTGACATTATCTTCCTCTATTTGCTTGTGTACCTCAGAGAGATTATTACAACTGGTTTTTATTTTTTATATGCTTAATCTGTTTTTGTTGTTTTCTTGGGTACTTTTGAGTTCTATATCAGGTATTCTTTTTTTCTTGCTGATGTCATGCCTGACATTGGCTAGTTTGTTGGCATTGATGTTTAGTTTGTATGCAGCATGTTTTTCTTGACAGATATTATAGGCGGCTTTGGACATTAATGTCGTCATCAAATTTATCGTAAAATGTAAAATGTTCAATATACGCTTCCCTAGATCATTTATTTATTATTCTTTTTGTGTGATTTTCTTTTAATGAATGTAGAGGGTCTCTGTGAGGACTGACCTCAGCATGGTTTTACTCTAGTTTTTGTTGGGTAGAGTTTGTTTCAGTTGAAAACTTTTTGATTCCAGTCTGGTTCTTCACTGAGGATTGCAGTCCTTGTTGATCCATGTGACAACTGATGCAGTTTAATAATATTTTTCGCTGTGTTAGCATTATAGTTAGTTTGTATTTACCCATACGTGGGTGCTAGTTGTGATGAGCAGTTATATTCGGGGGGCTAGGGCTCCTCCTGCTCTTTTTGGGGTTTTATCATCATTATGATTATTATTATTATCATTATTATCATCATCATCATTATTATTAACTTTGAGTAGTATTTATTTTCAACTAAATAATTATCAGATGAAGACTTTTCAGACATTGTTATTATTATTATTATTAATTTTAAGTAGTATTTACTTTCATCAAAAGCTTTATCAAATGAATAATTTTCATCTATTATTATTATTATTATTACTACTATTATTATTAATTTTGGTTAGTATTTACTGTCATCTAAATCCTTATTAGATAAAGAATTTTCATCGATTATTACTATTATTATTATCATCATAAATTTTTGGGTAGTATTGACTTTTATCTAAATCTTTATCAAATGATAAATTTTTATCCATTATTATTATTATTATTATTATTATTGTTTTATTTCCTTTGGTTTCTGGTGTATACTCATTTCTTTCCGGGTCCTGACCAAAAACCTAATGTCAGAAATGGCGTCATGACATTTTCCATTGAGCAGTTTTGAAAAAAAAAAATCGCACTTATTTTGCATAGATAAAGCCCTTTGTAAGGTGTGGGCTGTACTTGTGAGTACAATTTTATTATTATTATTATTATTGTTATTATTATTATTGTCATCATTACTAATTTTGAGTAGTATTTACTTTCATCTAAATCGTTATCAGATGTTGAATTTTCCTTCATCCTTATTAATGTTATCATTATTAATTTTGGGTAGCATTTACTTTTATCCATGTTTTTATGAGATGAAAAAATTTCATTCATTATTATTATTATTAATTTTGGGTAGTATTTACTTTCATCCAAATCTTTATCAGATGATGGATTTTCATCCTTTATTATTATTAGTAGTAGTAGTAATTTTGGGTAGTATTTACTTTCATCTAAATCTTTATCAGATGAAGATTTTGCAGCCATTATTATTATTGTTATTATTATTATTATTATTATTAATTTTGAGTAGTTTTTGCCTTCATCTTAATTCTTATTAGACGGAGGATTGTTAACTCTCAGTATTATAATTATATTTAATTTTTTTATTTATTTTCAAATTAATTTTTTCATCTTGTCAAGCATAATCCTGAAGGTAGGTTTATTCACTTCCCATTCACAGTTTATTTTACTTTTTCAACATATGAGTGAATCTCACACACCAAACAATATAATGATTAAAATGAATGATAAATACGTCTGCAAGTAATACTTTTACATTAAATTTATATATTTATAAATTTATTTATAAATTTATCATTTTACATTAAATTATATATGTATTTTGTTTTATTTTTTTCATTTTATTTCATTTTCTTTTTTCTTTATCTAGAATGCTCTCTCTGCTTTGTCATTAAATTCCCATCAAAGCAGCCGACCAGATTATGAGAGAGTATGTACCACAGAGCAGACTATGTCCGAGCACCATAGTTCAGCTTTAAGCATTGGAACAAACAAAGATTTCAAAAGAAGCCATGAGTTTTACAAAGATGAACTCACTTACTCCATCTCAAATCTTGACACAGTAAAAAGAGAAGAACATTACCCCAGCATCCATCGAAATTTCAAATTCTTCAACTTCCTTTTCTGCCTTTTGTGTGCCAGCACAGCTGAAGGTATGGTTTACTTGTTGGTGCCTAGTTATTTCATCAGTAATGGTTCTTCTCCAAATGAAGCTTCAAGAATTCTTTCATTGGTTGGAGTGTCCTCAACACTGACACGACCACTCATGGGATTCCTGGCCAATTCCAATGTGGCTGATATCTTCCTCTTGTTCCTGGCCCCTTATGGAATCCTGGGAGTATTTACCCTCTTCTTGCCATTCTATGTACATTTGTTGGCAGGGAAAATAATCTTTGCAATTTTGTTCGGACTTTATAATTGTTCCGTGTACGCTTTGTTAAATAAACTAACGTTGCGGATTACAGGGATTGAAAATATGGCTGCTGCCTTCGGCCTGGAAATGTTCATTTGGGGAATGACAGGGATCTTGGGAACTCCATTAGCAGGTATAAAAATTGACATTATTCTCTATCTTTTTCTCACAAACACACCCCAGTGCAAGTGCACACACAAATATGCACAATTGTACAAGCAAAAACAGATACACTCACATTCACAAACACATGAATGTTATGAACGTTGGAATTGTACTCTATTTCTTTTCATCTTACCTGGATATATATATATATATATATATATATATATATGAAAAATTTCTCAGAGTTAACCTGTAGAAAAAGATAATATTTATGAATGTAAAAGACAATAGAAAAACTGTAATAGTTGCCGACGCGTTTTGTCCAATGTGTACACATCGGATGAAACGCGTCAGCAACTATTACAGTTTTTCTATTCTTTTATATATATATATGTGCATGTGTGTGTGCTAGAGAACATATTTTTTTATTAAGTTTTCTTGGGTGTGCAGGCCAATAGACGTAAGTTTAAAATAAAAGAACAGGGTGTCTATTTCAAACACGAGTACCCACTAAAATTAACATTTGATGTAATATATAAATCTATATCAAACATATTTGGATGACAACTAGCTGCCAAAGTATACCTTATTCAAACTGATATATATATATATTTTTTTTCGCTTTGAATAAGGTATACTTTGGCAGCTAGTAGTCATCCAAATACGTCTGAGTGAAAAGAACTGACAAGGTTCGTCTGACTAACTTTTTATTGTATTTTTACCAGTTTTCGGATAAGGTGTTGAAGTATTATGCACAAAGTTGTGGATAAACTGCCTGAAGTTCATGTTTAGTTCAAGTACTTTTGACTTTTACAGTCATTATCAAGAACTGATGTGGTGCCAGTTAGGGTTAGTTGGAATTCTTTTGTCTACATCCTGGTATTCTTTGGGGAAACTAGACATTTGCGTGACATCATGTGTAATGGCTATTTGGAATGAGGCTGCACAAAAAAGAATGCAATTTATTTATTTATTAATTTAGTTTAAATTTTTAATTTAATTTTTATTTTTTATTTGGAAATAAAAATTTAAATTAAATTAATAAATAAATTGCATTCTTATTGTGTGGCCTTGATCCTCATGTCAGTGAGGTGTGTCTACTCAAATACAAATATCTATTAAAAATAATGTTTAAAATGCTAAAAAATTTATTCGATTAATAGAAATCTGTTATTTTATCTAGAAAATTTGCTTTGTTTACACATATATATATATTTCGTTTTTTATAGCCAGAGTTTTATTTTCCGATTTGAGCACTGTTTTTTCTGACACTATAGAGTATTTATATACAATCACTTGCTCATATACCTATCTATATTTACCCATTCAGTTTATATATATATATATATATATATATATATATATATATATATTTTGTTTTTTATACTCGGAGTTATATTTTCCTATTTCTGTTTGAATTTGTATGTCTAATGAATTGGGTTGTGATTATGATTCCAATGTAATAAATTATAACCATGGAATATTAGTATTTGAGCCTTTTATTATTAATCTTACTCTGTTCTGGACATTGAGTTCTACCTGGATTTTATCCTCTTGGAAATTTATGTGTGTGTGTGTATATATATATATATATATATATATATATATATATTTTGACCAATAATATTATAATATTATATATATAGAGAGAGAGAGAAATAATTGTGTATTTAGGAAGCAATCCTTCATTTATACATATTTTTATTTATTTAATTTTCCTTGTGTTTGAACAATTGTTTTCTTTTCTGGACACAGAGTGTAGAAACTGTCCAAATGTTCTGTAATTTCAAGTGCTTTCAGCTATACATTTAGCCATTATCAAGGATGAGTTTGTTTTTGTTTTTTTATTGATTTTATGGGTTGTGTGTATGTTTCTAGAGTTATAGGGTTGTTTTATTTTCTGAACACGGTCAGCACATTGTGGCCATTTTTGTAGTTAATATTATTGAGTGTTGGCTTTTTCTTTTGTATTATTAAGGCTTCCATTATTTTTAATCTATTTTTACAAAGTTTTTTGGAAAATTTTTAATCTTGTTTTCTGTCCTTAACTTTACCTGTGAACTTAGACAAAAAATAAACTACCATTCTTCAATGTTCTTGTAGAACACTTACCATTTCATTGTATTCAAACACAAGAAAAATTAAATAAAAAGATTAGTCACAGTACCTTGTCTGTTCTCTTTAATGAAACATATATATATATATATTATTATTATTGTATAATAATCAGCCATTATCAATATAATATAATTATATTAATATATATATATATATATATATATATATAAACATATACATATATATATATATATATATAACATATATGTATATAAATAAAAGAAAAGACATTAAGAAATATAATCCGTGTTCTTATAGATATTTTTTTTTTTTTCAAAATAGTGCTCAATATCAATTTACAGAGCATAATATTATAAATTAATTGATTAATTGATTAAAATCATTAGTTCCATTTCATCCTCAAGATGAAATGGAACTAATATTTTAATTAATTGCAAAATTAAATTCGAACAACAATTTTTTTTATTTATTTTTTGAAACATGGTTAGAAAATGTGTAGCAAGAAAAACATATTTTAAATCAATTTTTATAATTATATAACATATATATATATATATAATTAATATATATATATATATATATATATATATATATATATATATATATATATATATATATATATATATATATATATATATATATATATATATATATATATATTATATAAAACATGACAGAAAAATAGACGCTCACAAAACTGTTTATTTTATTAAACAAGTTATTTATACAAATATGGTCATAAAGTTAATAACTAATACTTGGTGGACATCCCTTTTGCTTTTTTTAATTCACAGACCCTTCTCGGCATGCTAGCGATGAGTTCACGAATATCATCTTGAGGGATTTCTTGACATGTTTTATACAATAATCCTATAACTTCAGGCATAGAAGATGGCTTCCTTTTCTTTTTGAGGAGTTTTTGATCTAATATGCTTCAAAGGTGTTCAATAGGGTTGATATCCGGGGACTGACTTGGCCATGGAAGTTTATTGATCCCATTTTTAATCTCAACCAATGTTGTGTTGTGATGAGCTGTGTGACATGGAGCTCCATCTTCCATAAATAAGGAGTCAACTTTGCTCATTCTACTACTTGAGAATAATGGAAGGAGCTCTTTCTTTAATATAGAAACATATTTGGTTGAATTAATGTTTCCTTCACAATCCATTAAGCTCTGAATTCCATCACTCCATAAGTTGCACCTTTACCATTACTGAAAGGCCCCCATGTTTTACCGTTGGCTGCAGTCTTTTTAAATCAAACTCTTGATATTGGGTTTTTTCTCCATACCCATACTCTTCCACTGTCGGAAAATAATGTGAATCTTGACTCATCAGAGAAAATGACAGGGTCCAAAAGGTCTGAGGTTCTCCACCATCTCAAACTGAGCCCAATCCTTTCTGTGTTTGATATTGGCTGGAAGAAATTTTCCTTCTCACAGCTTATGCCATAAATAGCCAAGCTATATATATATATATATATATATATATATATATATATATATATATATATATATAATTATATTATAAGTAATTCATCAAATATATGAAAAGAAACAAACAGTCAACAGAATGCAGAAAGCACTGGACAGCCGTTTTTGATCTATATTTTGAACTCTTCAGCAGTGCGCATCCACTACCAAAAATGAAACTCTGACAGTTAAGTTATCATGCAACTGTTCCAATGGGCCTCAGTGACGAAGATGTAGCAAATCATATATATATATATATATATATATATATATATATATATATATTGGGTGTAACAGCAACATTGTCCAAATCATCTAACAGCATAATTATTAACCCCACAAAATGTTTAATATCTAAAAAAACACTAAAATGATTGAGTTCCTTTTTTCCATATTTTCAGATAAAAATTTAGCCATCTTGTTTTTTCAGAATCACTGAAAAACCCTTTGAGTTATTCAATAAAAAGAGAACAGTTAAAATCATTTTGTGTCAGCCCACTGTCTTCTCCAACTGAGCAATAGTGAGAGGAAAATGATTATTCAGACCTTCAGTAATGGTAACAACATTCATACTCTGGTTTCCATCTTCAAATTCCATTCAAGAACCACCAAGAGAATGGTGAATAAGTTTAAAAAAGAGGGAACAGTAGAGAGGAAAATTAGATCAGGACTCACAACAGGAAGACGGATCATCATTTCAACTTAGAGCTAAAGAGATCAATTAGAAAAGATGCAACTCAATCCATAAGACGTTTGGCATGTGAGAGAAGAGTTTCAGCTCTGACAATCCAAAGAGCAATGAAAAATGACTTGAAAATGAAATCATACATGAAACCTGTGAGGCATCTTGTTATTCTAGAACAGAAATTTAGAAGGTTATAGAAGGTGAAGATCATTTTGAATAAGTTGGAAAAATGATCCTGGAATAATATATTCAATATTTTAGTTCAATCCTTTATGTGTTTCCAATCCTTAACTATGATTAATTAATGAACATGTCATTTTTGTTTATGATTGATTTCATTATTATTTTTCTGTTAAGCTTGGACAGTAATTATTGCTCAAAGTAGAGTGCAGTGGTGTTTTAAAAACCTTGGAGAATTCCAGTAAGATATCTTTAATTATTTCTAAGATACAACAGTTCAGAGCTTAATCTAACAATTGCACAATTTTGCTGTTACACCTGATATATATATATATATTTTGTATATATATATATATATATATATATATATATATATATATATATATATATATATAAAAAAAATATAAAATAGATATGAACAGTATATATATATATATATATATATATATATATATATTTTTTATAATTATTTTTCAAATTATATATTTTTTTTAAAAATATGATTCCTTCACTACATAAAAAATAATTTAGGCTCTACTTTTAAATTGAATCACTGTTTTTTAATAATAAAAAAAAAAAACACTAAAGAACTTATTTACCTAACATGTTTTTTATGATTCTATTCATATTTAGTGATATATATATATATATATATATATATATATATATATATATATATATATATATATATATATGAATAGACAGATAGATATGAATAGAATTAGATTTTAATATAGATAGAAAGGCAGGTAGATATGAATAGAAACTTAAATATTAACATATATATATATATAAATAGAAAGATAGAGAGAATGCAATAACATATATTAGTAAATTTTTTGAAAATTGTCCACACTGAACCAGCCAAAGATATGAATTTATACGATTAAAGTGAGATTTAATTTTTTACTTATATCATAAATATATACAATACAGTTCAAAAGTTTGAGGTAACCACTGGAATTTTTTTAAATTGGCCCTCAAAGTAGTGTGTGTATGTATACATACACATATATATATGTGTGTGTGTATGTATACATACACATATATATATATATATATAGAGAGAGAGATAAATATACTGAAATATATAGATAGATATGAATATATTTTAGATATTTCTTAATTTTGCCACATTCTTTATAACTACAGACATTAATATGGCAAATAAAAAATAGATTTTTAATAAAACTGAGATAGATATGAATAAAGATGATAGATATGTAGATAGATATGAAGAGGCTGAAATTAACAGATAGCTATGAACAAACTAAGACAGGTCCATATGAACAAATTAAATGTCAACTCTTACTTTGAACTAAAGATCATGAGATTTTTCCCAAAGTCTGTACCTCCCTATTTATCTTAATAACTGTAGGTCAAAAAATTCCTTGCTTCTTAATAGTAATTTCTGCATTGGTGAAGGAGGGGGGGGGGAATTAATGAAAGTTTTGTGTTGTGTACAGATCACCAGGGATTGTGGGTACATGCAAAAAACATACATGGTATTCAATATTTTTATTTGGTTTTGTCTTTCAGACAGCATTATTCAATGGACTGGTTCATTCAGCTCAGCCTTCGTTTTTGCAGGTAATTTTTGCATCTCTGTGCCTCTATTCACCTCTGCAAGTATGGACAATAGAATACCAAACATAGAGTGATGGTTAACAAGCTATCCCAACAAACTGTTAATTTTCATGAGTTCTTTTATTATTATGACCTTGTGCCAGACTAAGCCAAACTAAATATTGATAATGAAAACCTGTCACTGATCAATGGTTAGTAGACTGATCTCACAAGCCATTGCTAGTAAGTTTAATACTTATTAATTGACATATATTTATTGCCTTCTGCTAAACAATGTCAAAATTATTAAATATCCAGAGTAGCTAACCTTGCTAAATAATGAACAAGCTTGTCACATCTCACAATCTGTTGACATTATGTTCAGTGAGAATAGCTTAATTCTAAAGCTGACATAATTTAATCTCTTTAGAAAGAACCTTGTGTCATGCAATTATCCGTATGCGGTTTTCACAAAACATAGACTGGCACCAATTGACTGACCTTTTGCCATAATTGATATAAATATTATTTGAAATTCTGAAATAGATCATTGTCATTATTCCTCAAATGGTTCAGACTAATATCCTGTTCTTTGTTGATTTTATCGCTCCATTTCTGCTGATGCAGTCTGTGGATATTTTCAAATGTCCAACTTATTTAGTAAGGGAGTTTTTTCTCTTTTACTAAATTGTTCTAATATTATTTTTTGTATTAAAAATTCTAATTGAAAACAAAAAAATCTAATATAAAGGTAAAATATGACAAATTATTTTTTAAATATTTTCATGCAGTTAAACTCACCCATATTTGTTGTGGTTTTTGTTACTCCCATAAAGTTTCTGCTGCTTTATTCTATGGCCTTCTTCAGGTTCACATTTTGAAAAGAATCACAACCAAAAAAAAAGTAAATCTTCCATCTCTTTTTATATAGTACACCTGATGGCTATAGAATAGATTGACTGAATTGTTACAGGAACAATAAAAACTCACATACAAGAAAAGAATGACTTTAATTGTCTGACAAATCTTTTTTGAATGACTTTAATCTTTTTGAATGTTAATGACTCTTCTCAAAATTATAGACAATGACAGAGGATCTTTGGCAAAAACACCTCTATCTTGTTTTTTCATTTGAAATAAGAGGGTGAATCTTGTAGATACCAACAATGTGGCCAAAGTAAGCCTATCTTATGAAAGACATGTCTAGAGGATTTATTAATATTACATCAGGCTGGCTTTTGAGTATCACAACCACTATTCATAACCACTTGACCAGTGTTGGTTCCTCATTAAAAAAAAACTTTGAAAATATTGTATTTATAATATAAATAAGAATAAGATGAATCTTGGAGACAACAACTATATTGCCAAAATAAATCTATCACATATAAAGGGAGCATCTAGATAAATCTAAAGGGTTTATCATCATTAAAACTTTCAGATAACCCTTCCGTAGAACTCTTTACAATTTCCTCTTGGGAAAAGGATTTGGCAAAAGATTGCAGTTATATACTAAGAATAAGATGAATCTTGGAGACAACAACTATATTGCCAAAATAAGCCTATCACATATAAGAGGAACAGCTGAACAGATTTAAAGGATTTATCAACATTACAAGATCAAAGTGGTTTTTAATGATAAATCCACTCTTCACAACCACCCTCATTCCCTCTGTATTCCAAATATATGGAGAACATTCCATTCAGAGAGTATTTTTCCTAAAGAACTGCTACTTTGTTGAACATATTCCTGCATGGATTCATCTATGGGCAATACAATCTTAACATCTTCAAGTCATGGGTCAATTATTATCTATTCTCCTTATTCTCATAATCTTTACTACCACCTTTTCTTTCATTCCTATCACCCACCTTATTTAGTAACCATCTACCTTGAGTGACTCTTGGGCCATGTATTGAATTAAATTAATTGTATTAAATGAATCTTTGTTGCCTAAATATACACTTCATTTATATCATACACACAAACACACAATATATATATATATATATATATATATATATATATATATAAAATAAGATTTAAAAGAACAAATAAAGTAAAATCAATTCTCCAAATTTTATGTTTAATACGTTGACATGAAAAAAATTAATTGCAAAGAACCAAATTCTGAACACCTTATTTTTTTATTTAAAGCACAGAATCTGACTGATTGGTTGTCAAACCCACATATCCACAAATCTATTTTTAATTCTGACAATATTTTGTACCCCTGCTTTAAATTTCAAAAAACAGGTAACAATTTGTTTTTAAATTTCCATTAAAATCATTTTATCACCAGTTTCTTTACCATTTTCAAAGTACAATCATAGTATTGAAACATGAAAGCTTTTGTGTCTATTACATTTAAAAATGTTTTATTATAATGTTTATAATATATATATATATATATATATATATATATAAAAAAAATGTTTTAATTTAACACTTTCAGAAAAAACAGACTGTTTAATGCTAACAAAAATCGTCAGGCCACCTGATGATTGTATTTTCATGAAATAGCCTGTCACCTCTAGTGTTGAAAATAATAGGAATATATATATATATATATATATATATATATATATTATATATATATATATTAATGTATATTAGGGCAGCAACCTTTCTTTTTAAACATGTTTTGTTAAATATGACAGACAAGGAAAATTTAATTCATTTTTTTTTAGTTTTTTTTTATTTTAATCAATTTTTTTTTTGGTAGGAATAAAAATTGTAATTGTCCCAAGTTTTTTTTTTCTTTAGCCATTTTCAAGGCATTTTGTTTCTGTTTTTGATTTTGTTGAACATCTTTTATTTTTTTTTTTTTTTGTAAAAAAAATATATAAAATCAAATCATTGGGTAAATTTACTCTGCCAGAATTTTTTAAACGTTGCATACATGTTCATTGTTTGTTAGATTTCAGAAACTGCAAAAATACGAACATTTCAGAATGATGGACCATCTGTGAGAAAAATGTAACCATGACAGAATTCCCTCTTTAGAAATTTGGAAAATAGTGGCAACATTATGTCTTCATTCATCTTTCCATAAGGCCTCAAACTCAACATGGAGGCCTACAATCAAGTACCTTGAGGGGGTAATGCTACCCTGGGTCAAGAGGGTGGCTGCTGGAATACTCTAATATTCTGGCAAACTACCATGCTACACAAGCAGGAGAACCCATCACGGTTGTCAGTCAATTTCTGCAACCACATCACCCCTTACATCTGGCCACCTAACTCCCCAGACTGCAACTCCCTTGATTATTATGCATGTGTCACAATTGAGCAAGAGACCAACAAACCTCCTAGAAACAACAAAGATGAACTGAAAGCAAGGATTATGGCAGCATTCACCAACTTAAACAAGGAGACAATCCAGAGGAGATGCAGAAGATTCCGAAATCGTCTGAAGGCTGTGGTTGAAGCCAATGGCGATTTTATTAAATAAATTTACTCTTTAGTATTTCAAGATATTTTTTTGTAATTTTGGTAAATATATCTGTTAATATGAGATGTCAATGTTATTTTCATTTTTTTTGTGTGTGTGTGTGTGTGTGTGTGTGTGTGTGTGCGCGCGCACACGCGCATAATTTAGACGACAATTTATCCATCGCACCCTATAATATATGTGTGTGTGTATGTGTGTATTACAGTTATATAGCCATTATATATATAATGTTACATATAATATTTATTTAATTCCTTGATTTTTAATTTTAATATTGCCATGTCTAATGGCCCATTGAATATAATAAGTATTTTAGGATCAAAATAATATAATATTATAAAAATGATTTAATCATACTAGTAGGCCCCTTTAAGATAGTTCTAAAGTATATACAAAAATAATTTTTTAAAAAATACTGGAAGTAATGGTGATATGTCTAAAAATGACAAGTATGAATAACACATACACCCCTAACCTATATTTTTCACTTTTATGCTTTATCTTTGACCTGTCTTTTGATTGGTCAAACAGGACATACTCATAAAATTTTGAAATCTTGTTTCCCCCCTCTTTCTTAACTCTTCAACAAAATACCATTCGGTTTTCAAAAGTAAATAATTTCATCAAATTTATCTAACATCACTTGATAATAGAGCAAATTTAAAGTTCTGAAACATAGAAATTTCCATGTCACGATGTAAAATATTTTTAGATAAAAATATCATTAAAAATATTATGCTCTACTTTGTATTGAGCACTTTTTTAAAAAAGGAAAATTCTAAAGAACTGTGGATTCTTAATCTGATTGTTCTTTCTCTTTATTTGTATATATATATATATATATATTTTATATATATATATGATAATTTTTGGTAATTTATAACGTAAAAATGTTATAAAATCACTACAAAAATAGCCATTTTGTTTTACACTCCAATGTCTTATCAAGTGATGATGTTGAATGCAAAACAAATGGTTTTAAAAGTTTCAAATTTTGTTAACGATCTTTCATGAAGATTTTATAAATATAAATCCATATAAATCCATTAATTTCTTTTGAAATATATATTTATTATTTGTGTTGTAACATATATATATATATATATATATCAAATTATTAAATTTAAATATAAATTTATTATTTGTGTTGATTAATATATATATATATATATATATATATATATATATATATATAAATATATATATATTAAAAATAATATATATCTTTTGAAAATTAATGGATTTAAGGTTGTTTTATATTTAAACTAAAATTTTATTAATGATCAAATTTTATTATAGTGATTATATTGTCACAGCAAAGTCACATTCTTTGTGGCTGAGAGGTAAAGCTCACTGGATCAAAAGATGGTTTCACCTGTGAACACCTGTTTGAGGCAGAATCAGTGACAATCCATGCATAGGAAACATTTAATTTTTTTGCCCCAATGCAGGTCAAGGGAAGGTAACATAACTCAATTTTCTTTTTTCAAAAGGCATTATGTTCATTGAATATCTTCAAAAACCAACATCTCAATTGACTGATGATTTTAACAACTTGAAAGCAAAATT